CCTAATCACAAGAAAACAAGGTTGATGAATAGAGTCGAAACAAAGCAGAACCTAAGAAGAAATCAATTTTTTACCTGCCACGGGCCTACGGCCATGCCTCTCCCAGAAAGACGCCCATGTGCGTATCCCCCGCGTATGAGGGAGTACGGCCTCGACCCACTCACGTATCCAAGACAATGGGGCCGGCGGCGACCTGTCAGCTACAAAAAAGACACGAGTTAACGCCCATGATCACAAATCATAAAGAGGGAAAGAAAAAGGAATTCAACCACTAAAGAACTTACGTGCATGGTTCCAAGCCTCTGGGAACCCAGTAGCATCCGCCACCAGGTGCTTGGTCCTGATGTAAAAGAAGTGCTCGAAAGGGCGAGGGTCGACCTCGTCATCCAACTTCATGACCAGGCCCCTCGACCCACGAGGGCACGCCTGAATCATGGTGCCGCGGACTCTCTGGGGAGCGTAGAGACTCAGCACATGCTGCAGCGTGACCTCCCTACGGGCCAATTCCACGTACTTGATGAACATTGCCAACAATTTGTAGAGTGAAGGAGTGAGCTGACCCGGGCATACCCCGTAATAACGGCAGAAATCCACCACCAGCATTGGGAGCGGGATCTTGAACCCCAACCTGAAAGGATAGGCGTAAAAAATGCAGTATCCCCCACGATCGGTGTGGACCCTCTCCTCGCTTCTAGCGAGAACAATGTCTGCATGGGTAGGAACGACCCCCTGTTCCCGTAATCGGGCCATCCCAATCTCCCCCATTAACGGGGCTTCATCCACCGGTTCCTCTCCACCGTCGGCAATGAAATCAATCGCCATACCTCCGGGCCGGGGAACCACCTCGTCAACCGACGGAATTTCTCCGGACTCTATCTGTTCTGCACCTCCCATTGCCGGAGATGGCCCTTCAACTACCGGAAAATCTATCGGAAGAGCATCGTGGGAAGAGCTGCCTGCCATTGTTGATCTACTAAAGACAAATGCTATCACAATCAAAGGAAAGAAAGGAGAAGATGAATTAGTGAAATGAAAAAGTTTCCTCAGAATCTCTCTCAGATGAACAATGAAGAGATGAGAAATGAATGCCTCAACCCACCTTTATAGGCAACATAAATGGCTTTCGCGAAACCCAATAGCCATCATTAACTGCACGACCAACCGTAAAACGGTTCGATTCTGCCGAAGCAAGCGTCATTATGACAAGCTCCGCGAAGCGGCTTCTCAGCCATCCGCCAACGTCCCGCCGTCAGAATAATTGCAACAGCCTGCAAACGCTGAAAGAATGTGCCGTATGCCTTCAAAATTCTGGACGTGACCAAATACGTACCCGGCGCATACTCATTCTCCACGGCCATCTCCAATATATGAAAGGCTACGGCCACCTCCAATGTATGAAAGGCTACGGCCATCTCCAACATGTAAACGACTAAGGCCGCCGCCGCCAATAAGTCGACCTCCGTATTCGAGTTGTTTTCAAATCACAATCGATGAAGTCCGCTCATCGAGCTCGGCCGAAACACGACCTCAATAAGCGGAGGGACTAACTGTATGGGTCAGAATCCGACCCCACGACAATTAACGAGGCTAATCCCGTAGTAAGTTAATTCATGATTAATTAGTGGCACGACCACACAGAATTGACGACGTTCAACCCGCCTCTGGCTCGGTCAACAAGGCCCTGGCCTATCCGCCACTATAGAGGCGAGATCTCAACGTGGTCAGGGCCACTTATTGCCAGCTCACGAAGCCCACAGCTATAAATACCAAGAGAGGGGACCCTAGAAAGGGGGGCTGTTTTCTTCGCTACTATAGACAGGAGAGAGAAGGGAAAAATATACCCATTTTATGGGAAGAGAAAAACACCATTGTAAGGCTCTGAACCTCTTCATGGAGAGGCAGACCAAACAAATATTATCAATAAAGGCTTTTAATGTTTCTCCCCCTAATTCTGAGTACTTATTTTCGTTTCTTCCATTTGGTCCAATGGATTATTACGATTTGCTATGATTTTCCCGTGATTATTTGTATTGTTTTGCACTCATAAGATATGTGATAACTTTTGAGCAAACAAAAGAATAGATAGAAAGGAGAGAGAACTTAAGAGAATCTCTATTGCAGATAAAAATTAAAGCTAACCTAAAATGAATATTTTGTTTATGTTATAAAATATTTAGTAAATGTGGATGTCCACTACTCCCACTACTTTCATCCATGATGTAAATTACCTCCTACTACTCATCACCATTATGATTGTAATTCCCACACCTCCATAACCCCTCCCCATGATCTTCCCCCATGATCTCAATTGTTAATGTCATGTTTAAGACAATGATTTTGTAACCTTCATAGGTAATAGTATAAATAGAGGCATGAAATGTGAGATAGAATACACTTGAACACTTGATGAAATAAGAAAGTTATCTCTTCTTCTCTTATTCTACTTATCTTCTTGTTTTATATTGTTACTTTGAGCTACATTTTTTTAACACGTTATCAGCACGAAGTTGAGCTCTTTTCGTTGTTCAGGTATATTTGTTCATTTTGTTTTTTTTTCGTTGTATATTTTGATTTCATGATTAGTGTCTTTAATATGCCGTTTTATAATTTCTCACATCTCTAGATATATGTAAAAATAAAGAATTCTATGTTTCTTTATTTTAAGTTATTTGCATGATTGTCATGTGAAAGTTGCTAATTTTTATGTTAATAGAATTAATTGAGAGAAGATATTTTGTTCTAGTTAACATCAAAGATATACTAATAATTTGAAGAAAAAAAATAGTATTCTTTTCTATGGAATTATCACTTTAGTGTATATATAGATCACAAATTTGATATTATGTCAATTTTTAAGATTCTTTATGCTATTATCCTAATGATTTCTAATTAGTTATCTTCTTTGATAGTTTTTACTATGTCGAATTTGTCAAAGCTTGAGTTTGTGGCACTTGACATTTCTGGAAAGAATTACCTATCATGGGTTCTCGATGCTGAGATTCACTTAGCCGCTAAAGGCCTTGGTAACACCATTACTCGGGGTAATGAGGCATCAAGCCAGGACAAAGCGAAGGCCATGATTTTCCTTCGTCATCATTTGGATGAAGGTTTGAAGGTTGAATATTTAATAGTGAAAGATCCACTTGAATTGTGGACTGGCCTGAAGGAAAGGTATGATCACCTTAAGGCTACGGTATTGCCAAGGGCTCGATAATGAGTGGATGCACTTACGGTTGCAAGATTTTAAGACCGTAAGTGAGTATAACTCTATTGTATTTCGAATAACTTCCCAACTGAAATTATGTGGGGAAGTTATAAATGATGAGGATTTGCTGGAAAAGACTCTTACGACTTTTTATGCCTCAAATATGGTATTACAGCAGCAATACCGTGAAAGGGGTTTTAAAAAGTATTCTGAATTGATCTCATGCCTTCTGGTGGCTGAGCAACATAATACCCTTTTGCTGAAAAATCATGAAGCCCGTCCCACAGGGTCAGCTTCGCTTCCTGAAGCGAATATGGCAACTAGACGTGATAAGTCTGGAAAAAGACAGAATAATAATCATGGCCATATGATTGTACGTGGGCATGGCAATGGTAAGAGACGATATAATAGTCGTAATCGTGGTGGTCATGGCAAACGAGAGAACAATACGGGTTCTCAAAACAATCCTTCAAGAGGCAAAAGCGGTAACTGCCACCGCTGTGGCATGAAAGGTCATTGGAAAACTGAATGACCTGCACCTGAGCATTTTGTCAGGCTTTATCAAAAATCCATCAAAAGAAAGACAAATAATGTTGGAGCATCTTCTGATAATGCCCCAGTGGAGTCACACTTGACCTTTAAAAATGATTTTGAGGCAGGGCCTTCAAACAAAAATGATGACAATGCCGAGGCAAATCTTGCTTTGAATGATGATGATTTTCAAGGCCTCGATGATCTTACTCATTTGGAAGTTGAAGACTTCTTTGGAGATCAAAACTAAAGTTTGATCATTTTACTGGGGAATGCAATTATGTTATTTTTATTTTCAGTGGTTTTTTTTTGTCTCGTTCTAAAGTTGTTTTTTATTTTCAAGTAGTACTTAAGCTGTCTTATGTTGTCGTTGGTGATGTTAGTTTTTTCCGTATTTCTCATGATGTACTTTTATTTTTTTTATGAAGAATATAAAATTCCCCAGTCTTCAATTGGATCCAAGATGAGTAATGAAGATTTATGCCTTTTGGATAGTGCTACAACTCACACAATATTGAGAAAAGAAATTTTTCTCTTATTTGGTTATGAAAAAGGCTTATGTTAATACAATATCTGGTAGTACAAAGTTAATTGAGGGCTCTGGAAGAGCGGCCTTATTACTACCTGGAGGAACGATATTAACTATTAATAATGCATTGTATTGTAGTAAGTCTCAAAGAAACTTGTTGAGTTTCAAAGCTATTCGCCAAAATGGCTACCATGTTGAGACCTCTAACGAAGGAAAGGTTGAATACCTTTATATTACTACAATAAAAGCGGGAAAAAAATGTGTGCACGAAAAATTACCCGCATTTTCTTCTGGGTTATACCACACAAATATTGGTGTGGTTGAATCACATGCCATAGTAAACAAAAGGTTTACTACTTCTAACGATTTTATCATTTGGCATGACCGGTTGGGCCATCCCGGTTCTAACATGATGCGCAGAATAATAGAGAATTCAAATGGGCACACATTGAAGAATAAGAAGATTCTTCAATTGAAGGAATTCTCTTGTGCTGCTTGTTCTCAAGGAAAATTGGTTATTAAACCATCAGCAGCTAAAGTTGGGATTGAATTCCCTGCATTTCTGGAACGTATACAGGGTGATATATGTGGGCCTATACACCCTCCATGTGGACTATTCAAGTATTTTATGGTCTTGATAGACGCATCTACAAGATGGTCACATGTGTGCTTATTGTCAACTCGTAATATGGCATTTGCGAGATTGTTGGCCCAAATAATAAGGTTAAGAGCACAATTTCCAGATTATGCAATTAAGACAATTCGTCTTGATAATGCTGGTGAATTTACATCTCAGGCCTTTACAAATTATTGTATGGCCACTGGAATAAAAGTTGAGCATCCGGTTGCTCATGTTCATACTCAAAATGGTCTAGCAGAATCATTGATTAAACGACTTCAACTAATAGCTAGACCATTGCTAATGAGGACAAAACTCCCCCTTTCAGTGTGGGGACATGCTATTTTGCATGCAGCAGCACTTATGCGCATAAGGCCAACCAGTTATCATAAACGTCTCCCATTACAATTGGCTTTGGTCAGGAGCCAAACATTCCCATCTAAGAACTTTTTGGATGTGCAGTATATGTTCCAATTGCTCCACCTCAACGCACAAAGATGNTAACTGTATGGGCCAGAATCCGACCCCACGACAATTAACGAGACTAATCCCGTTTTAAGTTAATTCATGATTAATTAGTGGCACGACCACTCAGAATTGACGACGTTCAACCCGCCTCTGGCTCGGTCAACAAGGCCCTGGCCTATCCGCCACTATAGAGGCGAGATCTCAACGTGGTCACGGCCACTTATTGCCAGCTCACGAAGCCCACAGCTATAAATACCAAGAGAGGGGACCCTAGAAAAGGGGGCTGTTTTCTTCGCTACTAGAGACAGGAGAGAGAAGGGAAAAATATACCCATCTTATGGGAAGAGAAAAACACCATTGTAAGGCTCTGAACCTCTTCATGGAGAGGCAGACCAAACAAATGTTATCAATAAAGGCTTTTAATGTTTCTCCCCCTAATTCTGAGTACTTATTTTCGTTTCTTCCATTTGGTCCAATGGATTATTACGATTTGCTATGATTTTCCCGTGATTATTTGTATTGTTTTGCACTCATAAGATATGTGATAACTTTTGAGCAAACAGACTTCTTAATAATAATGGTACCAAACAAATTGATATGCATGGAGTGGTAACTAGTTCAATCAAGCAGTCAGTAAATTACTCGTAAATTTGATAGTTTTTTTGGGCTTCTTTTACAAAGAAATTAACTCACAAACAAAACTCATGTAAATTAATCCAAAATTATGAAATACATGAGCAAGGCAATACTCATAGTATGTAGATTTACTATGAAACAACGGAAAGGATATTCGATCTTACGAATCCATTTAAGTGCATTTTGACAAATAAATGAAAATGAAACACATCGACTTATTATGCTCTTGGCTGTTGCCTTATTGCCAAAATGCAATTAATAATTCTGTGGGAGTGGACGAAAGCCATAAGATAGAAAAAGATGTGAAAAGATGATCGTAATATGTATCCAGTGGTGACATTTGAGTCACGTAGAGTAATGTGCCTCAAAGTCGAGGACTGGTTACTTATCTTCTTGCTGAGCTTTTGCCATTTTTCGTCCCAATTTGTTTTTTTTTTTAAATTTAAAATTTGGTTTTAAAAATTTTGAAAATCATTTATTTTTACTTGGGTGTATTTGGAATCTTATTCTTTCAAGAATCTAGATTTTGTCTTATTATCTTCAAAAAAAAAAACTTGAACCGTCTTCAAATTAAAGGGAAGCTTCACCAATACTTCAATTGCCCACCCTTGCAACACGTGTATAAGGAGGCGAATAAGGTTGTAAATGTTATGAACAGCACATTTTATTTTGAGATCTTCCTTCTTTACATGCTTTATTTACTTTCAGAAAACACTTGGAGCTTGTTTGACCAAGCTTCTGGGAGGTCAAAAGTATTTTTTTCATCCAAAGAAATACTTTTTAAAAAATTTGAGTTATTTGGTCAATACATAAAAGTATTTTTTGCCAGCAACTAGAAGCAGTTTTTCTGCTTTTGGGAAGAAGCAGAAAATTCTAGCTTCTTCCAAGAAGCAGAATCAGAAGTAGAAAATTAATTTATTCAAGACAAAACTATCCTCACCATAAATTTATATTTTTCAAATTATCCCTCACTAATTTAAGTTTTTTCTTTTCATTTTTGTTTATTGTTTTTACCATCCTATTAAAATTAAGGATATCATATATATGAATCATATCGTAACTTTTAAAATTTTTTATTGACTTCTCTTTTCTTTGTGTAATGTCTCGTAACTTTTCAAATTATCTTCTTCTTTTTTCACACTAAAGCAAATTATCTGCATCTTCTTTGGATTATCAATTCTTTTCCTACAAATAATTATTTATAATTTCTTCTATTATATGCTATTAGTTCCTGAATCTTTAAAACAGTTATCAAATCTGATTTGTGAAAATGACCTACAAATAGGTAATAAATTTACAATCGCATTGCATAATCTATCTATATATTATTAAAAGAAAAAGAAAATGCATCCATATTTAGTCAAGTGGCAGCCTCACAATAGGCCACTTGGCATTTTATGACAAAGTTAGTAAGGTTAGGTAATAATTAGTTTCTTTTTGAATTTAAATTTTAAAAAATAAATAAATTATACACTATGTGTTGTTAATAATTAGTTACTCGTTTTGAATTAGAATTTAAACATACTTAACTATTTCTTTTACAAATTTTTTATATATATATTTGAAAAAAAAAATTATTTTAGGCTCAATGCCATCTTTTAAGTTTGATACTCAAAATCATCTAGTTACAACTACCATGGCTGTACATAATTTCATCCGACAACATTCTTTTACCGATAAAGAATTCAACTATTATGCTAACGAAGACATTACTGCAGAGATTGATGAAGGAGATCGGCCTTATGATATTCCTTAAGAAATGCGAGGCAAGTCTTTTACTAATATGAAAGTGTTGTGTGATAGAAGTAGAGATGAAATGGTTGAGAAGTATTATCATGCGTGAGTGACTTTACTTATTATTTCATGATTATCAATATATAATAATTTGTGGATAGACTTCTAATTTATACTGAATGATGTTATTTTAATTATTCAAACATCATATAAAAATAAGTAATTATACTGGATAATATCATTACTTTATGTTTGTTTACTTTATGTTTTTTACGATACATAAAAAGGTAATAAAAGTCTCTTACGATACATATTTAAGTTTATTTTTATATTTAAAAAAATTATACGACCTTGGTACTATCCTTTTTGGTAATTTGATACTCAAAAGCACTTTTTGAAATGATTGGCCAAACACAAATTATTTACCAAATGTTGCAAAAAGTACTTCTTAAATGAATTGGCCAAACACAAACAGTTTTTTTTAAAAGTACTTTTAAGAAAAGTACTTCTGAAAAAAAGTACTTTTCAAAATAAGCAGATTTTGGCAGCTTGGCCAAACGGGCTCATAGTAAGGAATATGTCAAACCGATAGTTCCTGTGTGTAATATTCTATTTAAACCTCTCTTTCTTGCTTTCAATAAATTGGTATCTGTTATAAATAGAATTGTATTTATGGTGAATGTCTATATTTAGAGAGATTCTAGGGTTTATTACTTGGTGGCTAAGTCACTCTCCCCCTATAAATAGAGGGTTCTATTCCATTGTAATTCATGCCAATATCAATAAGAATTCTCTCTCTCTACTTTACTCTGCAATACTCTTCTTCTTCTTTTATTGTTTCATGACAATATCATTATTCGGCAAAAAGAAAAAGATAAAGCGCTAGAGTAAAGACTTTCAAACTTCATGAAGATAGATATATACCTCTAATTAACTAGAATAGTCATGACAAAAAGGATTTTCTCATATGGTTAGTTTGATAATCGGTCATATCAAAATTCTCAAAGACGGACAA